TGTGTGTGTGTGTGTGTGTGTGTGTGTGTGTGTGTGTAAGACGCTGTGTACTTTTGGCAGAGCTTTTTGGTGGAAAGTAAATCATTAATTCTTTCATTTTGACATTCAGACTGGGACCCCGGTTACTCTTCAAGCATTCAGATGGACTTGATTTCGATTAAATGGCGGTGTGTCTTGTGAATTGCTAACACGACATACTAAATTCCGACGATAATTTGTCGGCTTTCCGTTGTGCTGACTAATCATGAGGCATATAAAAGACTTATTCCTATTGAAAGTTACTTACGATTCGGTTTTTTCTCTTCTGATATTTCAAATTCGCATTCATTTTCGAGATACAGTTTTACTTTTTATTTATTACTGCTACACCTGGTAAAGATCAAGTGTATGCCTAATTTTAATCACGCGAAAGGATATAAAGGTGAGATATAAAACAGTTCATTAAAGAGTGTCAGATGGGAGTGAATTAATAAAAGAGGAGAATAAAATCAGTGCACCGAAATGCCTTTACTTCCTTTTGATTCTTGTATTCTTTAAGTTATTTGCGCTCTGGAATAATTTTTCTAAATTTCTCTGCTTGGGTTTTAATTTTTTATGTCTCTATTCGAGAGCTCAATCAACGACTGTTTAAGTAGAATTGTATTACAATTATTTTTCCTCATATTGTCTTAACTGTGGAATTACAATATTGCCCTTAATGTGTTATTAAAAGCACTGACTAATAGAGAGATTAGTTGATTTGAGTTTCCAATAAGAAATTTGTTCTTTTCATGAAAAGGACAACCCTAGAGATGTAATATTTCCAATAATATCACTCCAAGAAAGCCCTTTTCCATTAATGTTCATTTACGGGGTATTAACTTCAGCTCTTTAAATTGCTATGAGGTATTTCATTTCGAATGGCATGAATGCTACTATATGCGATATCTTTACAAAAGATTCTTGGTGAAAAAAAAGTTAGCTGAATTATTTGAACTGTTCTTCTGAATATTTTTTATGGCTTTCCTTCCATATTTTAAACTGTCAAGTACCATTGGTGACTGTCGGTTTTCAGGCTAACCAGTTAAGTCTCATCCCTAAAAACCCTTCCATCTAGCTTTGGCCTTTAATCTTAGTTTAGAAGCTAGATTAAGAAAGATTAGATTACGTAAAGTAGAAAAAATATTTCATTGAAAGATATCACTTGCCTGCATTTTTATACGTCATAGTAATTCCTCTCAAGTTTATTTATCTCTCTACTCTTGGAGTTCGTTTTGTTTCTAAACCCCATGACAACTTGCGTCATCTTCTTAAACCCGATTTTATTTTTCCACTTCTAGGCATTGATGGTGACGCTAGTGATATTTACTAGTGTAATCGGATTCTATTCACTACCCTTGGTGAGCAAGTACATCTATCCTCAGTATCATGGAACCAGCATGAGTCTTCTGCTCTTCAATACCACCTGCATTCTTGCAATTTCATCCGCCATCCCTCTCCATGCCTCCCTTCTCGGTCTTGTCAACCCATCATTCCCACCTGTTTACTACTCTCTTTCTGACAATAATTTCTGTAGATCTACTTCTGATCTCTGCTTTCACCCCTCCGCAACCATCTCTTCATCTGCTATATTAGCTCCTCCTCCAAGTGATCTTCAAGAAATTAAACAACCATCGTTGATATCATCTTCCACTCAGAAAGACCCTTCAAGAGAAAGCGCTTACTTGTTACGTCGACAAGTTTTGCTAGCGGAAATACCTCTGGACCATCAATTAGCGTCTACTCTGGCGCCACAAGTAGTTCATCGAACTGGAAGCAAGCTGATAGCTCTCTCGTACAGTGCAATCTTTCTTCTGATCTGCTATTGGTTTTTACACAATCGTGGCCAGGAATTAGTGCGAATTAAAGATCAAGTGACTTCTGTTTGGTGCATGGCTGTCAACTGGTGGCTCGGAAACCCTTCTTCCGCGACCTCTTCATCTGCGAATCCTGTCATTATGCCATCGCCCACCTAGTCCCATTCCTTGTGAAGAGGATTTGCTGGGCGCTTACCTCCAGAAAATGCAGCATTTACCCACTTTCCCCCTTACTATGTGCTGTGGTGTACATAATATCGGTTTCTGATTATTTTGTAAAAATTTGCACATTTTCTGCTCTCTTTTGATTATTACTATTATTATTATTATTTGATTGATATATCCAAAATTCTTACATTTTTACTAATAAAATATTGTATTGCTTGGTTTTTTTCTAAGCTTCGAGTTATGTGCAAAATTAGGAGGATATTATATCACAGTGAGATCAAGATTTTACAAACCTATCATCCGTGGTCGTAATGATGATTCCAAAGATCCTTCTGGACCTGGAGAAAGGGGATGAAAGGCATGTAAATCAGCCACATTATTATAAGAGAAGTAAAGTGCTCAGTAGTGGACATTCCGAAATTGATTCAGCTTGGAGGTTATTTAATAATGTGGGTGTGACGTCAACGTGGGGCGAACAATAGTTGATAAAAGCAATGTTTCTAATAGGCTTTAAAGCCAAGAAGGTTGATTAGGTGTTCAAATTTTAGCCTTCGACGCGGACCCGCCCCACCGAGTAACTTCAATGACAACGCCACTGAAATGAACCCAAGTTTAGTAACATGTCGTAAACATTAAGTAGTGAACTTTCACTGCTGTCCATTTCCAATGGTTGAAAAATTGCCCTACCCACAAGTTAAACGGATCGAAAGCAAATCTCTTGTAAGCGTTATCACAACGTACAGTGGGATAAATAGAGGAGTGCTGAGATTCCGCCCTTCTTGATGATTCTGTCTTGTTTAACTCGCGTGCAAAAGATATCAAGTGGGAGATGGCGTTACAAACAACGCCTCAATAATTTGAAAGCTTTCAAGGCATAATTGCATTATCAAAGTTGCGCTCCATTGCACGACATTCGATTTAGCAAGTACCAATGACAAATTTCGGCTCCCACGAGGTTAATTGGTGTGCTGGGACAAAGATGGGTGGGGGCGGGGGGGGGGGGGGGGGGGGGGGGTGGAGAGGGTTGGTGTTATCTGACATTTTTCACTCTATACGCCTTGTGATGTAAGTTTACGGGCTTGTGTAAGGTGCTACAATTAAACTTGCAAGTGATTTAAACCGCCAGTCACGACAACTAGCACTATCCCTCCTTCCACCCAATGATCTTAAGAGAATAGAAAGTGAATAAAGACACATTTAATTTGAAATCTACAATTTCAAGAATGACTTCTTCTCTCTTTTTCTTTAATAATTGCGTAAAATTGATAGGTTTACTTCTTTATGCCCATATTATGCTTTAATTCGGTCATTAACTAACTGAAATATGGATTAAGTAAATATATCAAAATAGATGGATTACGACAGTCTCGCAACAAATAGACTGTAAGTGGCGTTAAAGAGCGGATTAGGGATCATTGCACGGAAGTTAGGTAATGGAATGGGAGGATTGGAATTCGTAAGTGACCTAAGAAAATACCAAACTATTAATGAAGGAAAAGTTCACTGCATTTCCATTTCACGACTTAGTCATAAACCACCAAAAACTAACTTTCCATTTAAAATTAATTAAAACAATTATATACGATGGTGTAAAGAAGAAGTCAAAGTGCACTCAATCAGTCTCTAATCTATACGATTTAAAAAATACAGCTGCTGGGGTCATGTCTAATGTAATCAATTCAGTTAAAGGAATTTTTTTGCAAAATCATAGTTTCAATTTGATATCGGTTGCACTTGATTCAGTTCGTGGTAATAAACAGAACGGATTACAGATCAATTCGATTAGTCATGAAGCCATGAACGATCGGCACTTTCGGCTCAATCTTTACATGGGAAGGAATTGGAAGAAATATCGTAATTCAATGGAAAGCTTAGAGATTCAACTAGTCTGGAGAAATGTTCAATTAAAATGCATTAGTTAATTTGCAGAAACGAAATAACTCGGTCTTTGTAATTGCCAAATCAAAACAAAAGCATTCCGAATCCTCTTTTCTATCAGGTATGATGGTGCGCTATGAGTGAATGTCAGTTTTAAATAACTTCTCTAATATAGGGGCACCTTGTTACTAAATTCATAGGTGCCATCTTTGGTTCAAATGAATATTATCTGTGATCCAAAGCTTAGTTTTAAGTTAGCCAGGGCACCTACTCACCACACTTAAAATTAGCAAATTACCAGATCGATGGAGGCAAAATTAGCCTCCTCTTTGAACTCACTTGCTACCTTCCATCTGCGTTTGCGGAATCTAGTAATTTAATAAATTCTTTTATGCTGGTATGTGAAATCTGATTTCAAAGTGTGTGATGGGCATCACATGAAATTTCGTCCACGGTTTGTTGTCGTGAGGAACGGGAATTTCAGCGCAATGAATATAGGGAATTAAAGACAAACGCGTATATTACTAAATTTTAGGTTGGATCGATATAAACGCCAAGTCATCACAATTGGCCTAATATTAGAATGATTTCACATTAATGACTTCTGATTATATTTTAATGGTGCGTCACCTTTAAAAGAGCTTTTCTAACCTATTAAAGTAGGTGTTAACAGAAATTGATTTGAGTAGATCACGTAGCTTGCACTTTTACTCCTATTGCCAAGTTGACATGAATTAACAAACTACAATGTTGAAAGTGCACAGACGAGTATTGATCATCCGATCTACGATTGGGTGGAAGGGGCTCTTGGAAACTGCTCCACTGAATAAAAATAAAATGATTTTCGTAAATTTTGAATTTATAATATCTTCCTGTTTTACTTGAGTAGTGAAACGAAGTGGAGGTTGCATGTCAAAATTTACCATTTCTAACTCGTCCAACGAGGATGAAATCCATCGACTCTCTTCCTATGGTAGAAGGTCACTTAATGCAACAATCATTGCGTCGAACCCAAATTTTCTAAATCTACGGAGTTGAAAAACCCTTCGAATTTCATGGATTAGTATTGATCCTTCGATGAAATGAAATAGTTTACTAAGCCATCGCCAACTTACTTTTAAGTGTGTAATAAAAACCTAAATTCAAATGAATTTGATGAGGTGTGGGGTTCAGATGATCACATCTAATTTAGTCACTGGAATATCAGGTAAATATGATGAATGCATTTAGAAAAGGACATATCAAAGGGACCCACAGGCCATAAGGACATAAACATTCATGAAAACATTATATTT